GACACCTTGGGATGTAGATTCCCTGGTCCAACTCGAATTTTGATGCTAGTAAATCTGTGTTAGGCTCTGGAAATCTATTTTTGTTTTTAATTTTTACAGATCATCTCTTAATGACCAATCAGGTTAAGGAATCAGTGATTTCAACCATTATTAGCAATACATAGTTGTATGTTATAAAATTACACATGAAAAATATAGTTATCACTAGAGAATGGCTTGATTAGGAAACAGGTATATTCAAATGGGAGAAATGTTTCTTTGAAGGGTAGGGATGGGGAAGAATAATTAGCTTTTAAAACATTACCAAAATTATATGAGCTCCAAATTACCATGTTGTGTTCACTGAGGGAGCCAGGGAGGCCAACATTCTTTGGGTTATGAGAGGCTCACAAGCCTTTTGCCTTCTGCTTTTGATATGGCTGATCTTTAACAAAAGCTTCAGTATGTGGGTCTGTAACCTAGTGTGGGATCAAGTCACTTATTCTGCTCTACTGTGGCTCTCTTTGGCTGGTTCCTCAAGGCCTAAAATATAGCCAGGCAAGTTACTTCCTCCCCAATTCAGATCAGTATTTATAGGAGAATGGTAAATATTGGTTAGATGGTGCTTGTGTTTTCACAAACTTGCTTCTCAATTTCCAATGGAAAATCTGTATTTATAACTCTAAATCTCATACTTGGGGGTTAATGCAAGAAATGTGAGCTGACTCACAAATTTAGGATACTATACAGTAGTCTCCCCTTATCTGAGGGGCATATGTTCCAGGACCCCTAGTGGATGCCTGAAACCACAGACGATACTCAACCCTATATATACTCTTTTATCCTATACATATATACCTATGATAAAGTTTAATTCATAAATTAGCACAGTAAGAGATTAATAAAATAGAACAACAGATACTGTAATAAAAGTTATGTAGTTACATGAATGTGGTCTCCCTCAAAACATTTTATTATAATGTACTCACCCATTTTTGACTGAGGTTGACTATAGTTCACTGAAACTGTGGAAAGTGAAACCTCAGATAAGTGGGGACTGCTGTACTGAGTACTCCTTAATGCCAGTGTGGCAGGCCAGGTCTCACTAACAACTGCTTCAGTACTACCTGAGTGGTTAAATTAAATATTAAAAGCCAGTGCCCTTTATACGAAGGCTGGGATGTAAGGGAAGCCCACCAAAAGTTTCGCCTAGACCTTTCCTGGGCCTTAAAGCATAACAAAATAACGAAGGAATTCTTAACAGGACCCATTTAGAATTAAACAAGTTTTATTGTGGGTCTAAAAAAACTCCCCAGGCCTCCACAAACAAGTTTATTGGGGGTCTGAAGAAACTCCTCAAACCTCCCTGATTTAGCAGGATACAACTTAAGGGTAATCACCCCAGCATCTGAACCCATTTAAATTAAATAAATTTACTAAGGTTCCAAGGGAAGGCCTTCAGAATTCAGACGTAATAAATTGTTAATCACTTATGTCTTTAGATGAATGTTTATGCATAAACACATAGCTTAAAAGGTATATAAGCTCTGAAAAGCTTTATAATTTTGAGTTGGTCTGCGGACACTTTCCCAGCCTTCTCCCTGTAACTGGTTACAGAAATAAAAACTCTCCGCTGAGCATGGTGGCTCATGCCTGTAATCCCAGCACTTTGGGAGGCCAAGGCAGGCAGATCACAAGGTCAGGAGATCCAGACCATCCTGGCCAACATGGTGAAACCCTGTCTCTACTAAAAATACAAAAATTAGCTGGGCGTGGTGGTGTATGCGTGTAATCCCAGCTACTTAGGAATCTGAGGCAGGAAAATCACTTGAACCCGGGAGGCGGAGGTTGCGGTGAGCCGAGATCACACCACTGCACTTCGGCCTGGTGACAGAGCGACACTCCATCCCAAAAAAAAAAAAAAAAAAAAACCAAAAACAAAAACTTCATCCCCAGTTCATCTGCATCTCATCATTGGGCCATGAGAAATAGCTCAACCCTCAATTTGGTCTGGGAACAGCAGGGAGTTCGGGTCCTTTTCTCCCAGAATATGTCCAAATCCATGTCCAAATCTGATCACCCCTCTCAGGGTTTAGCACCAGCTCGGTAAACCAGTTCAGGCAGCTTTTGCTCAATCTCGAAAAAAAATAAAAACAGAAGAAAAGGAAGATTGTTTCTATTCTTTTCCCAGGACAATGAGAACTGTTTTCCTTACCTCTACATAGCTAAGAAGCATCATCCAGGTGACTTTTTCATGACCAAAACATGTTTCTTGTGAACTACCATTTCCTTCCAGAAAAATCTTGGCTTTAATTTGATTCCATTTAGATGAACAAAATCTAGGCCTAAATCTCTCATTGGCTGAAACTGCTTCTTTGTTGTCTTTGGGAAGATTAAAAATTTCAATACTTATAAATGTAATTCCTATATTAACAATGTAAATAGAGATTGAATAGTTTCATCTCCATTATAATAATGGCTAGTCTCTTTCCTCAACCCTCATCCCTATAAACCCAAACGTCCCTGAAAAGTAGGAGAAACTGGAGCTAAGTTAAGCTAAAGAGAAAAGTAAAAGAACATAGTGACAAGCGATGAAAGAAAAGTAAGGCTCTAAAGGCAGAATAAGTGTTCTGCGGCAGAGAATAAAGACAGTTTGGTGGTGGGATTGACTGCCTACTGGTGTCTGGAAGAGCGGCGCCTATGGACATGTCTCTCCAGCCAAAGGCTGGGGCAAGACAGGGGAGCCCGAGGGATAGTGATGTCTGGCTCTGAGCAGTTCTTGGCCAGTCAGCAGGCCTCAGTGGTGCTACAGGTGTGTCTGTTTAGTAGAGCTGCCAGTCCTGTCAGCTACTTTCTGCAGCATCAGAGCCATATTCTGGAAATGCCTCTGGGCCTGTTTGCCTGCTCAGTTCTGCAGGGGAGCCGTGACTGCACCTGCTCACGGCTTACAGAACATCTCCTTGTCACCAGCTAAGACTTTCTAGAGGTCATGTCTTTGGCTCTTAACCCTCCAGCTTCTCTCTGTCTGCCTGTTGAGTAGTCTGACTACATAGCTTCATCCAGATCAGCGATGACTACTGCCACTGGAGGCATCCCCATCTCCCTTTCCAGGCCTTGCTGGCTGTGACTACCCTCCTGTGGACCAGCCAGGAAGGTCCCCCCTCTGCCAGCTTTGCCATGACAGTAGGTCCTATTCAATGTCTGGGCTCAGCTTTCCTGGAAAGAAAAAGTGTGGTGCTCTTTGACTGAAAGGGTTCTGCCTTGCAATGCCCTAACATCCTTGCACAGTTAAGAAAATACAAAGGACTTTCCCTCTACTGAGCTGGAAGGGCTATTTTAGGTCCCATTGGCCTATATCCCTGTGGTGTTTACCCTCCTTATTTCTTGGAATCTGTTCCCAGAAAAAGTACAAGGAAGATGCTGAGAAGTCCATGTCATATTATGAGACCGTTTTGGATACCCCAGAGATGCAGAGAGTCCGGGAGAACCAAAAGAACTTCAGCCTTGTAAGTTTGTATTAAATGTAAGGCACAGCCCACAGGCCCCCTGCTGAGGAGGATGCCTCTGGATGCCCCAGGCCTGCAGTGGGGCTTTGTGCAGCTCTCTACAACTCCCATCCTGCCCCAGGAAATGTGTGTTCGATTCATCTCTGGGCTCACCTTTTGTATTAATCCCAAATCACAGCATGAAAGACTCATCTGTTACTTCCTTGGTGGTGTAACAGGTGTAAAACCCCTGTAACAAAAGAGAGATTAACAAGATAAACACATACAATTTATTTAATAAAACCTTCAGAAATGACGACCCAAAGAAACAGGGAAATGCTTGTATTTTTATGGACAGAGATGCAGAGTGATTGGACAGAGAGGGTATGATCCAATGGTAATAAACAGGGAGTTTAGCAAGGCCTGTTTGTTCAGATTCTTCTAGTGTCTCTGTGTCTTTGGCTCCTTCCTCTGGGTCTATGAAGGACCCTTCGGGAAGGAGAGGCTTATCGCCTGCTTTAGAGGAAGGTCAGAGAATTATTATCTGCTTTAGGAAAAAACGGTGAGAGAAGGCCAGAGACCCTCCTGCTTCTGCTGTTGTTTGAAATGACAAGGTGCCATATTTTGGGGTGGTGTATCCTAAACCCTGTCAGTGGCTTCCTTTACTGAACGTGAACTATCATCGCTTTCTATTAGTGGTGACATTTATCTTTTTCAAAGTTAAATCTAAGCAAGAGATACTTAAAAACAAACCCCTAGCTTTATATGTTTTTTAAAATTAGTTTTTCCACAAAACTCTTATGAAATAATTTCCCTTAGGTTACCAGAGCATGATTATTGTGGCATAGAGTTTTTTTTTTAAAGATACAGGATTTTATTTTCCTTTACACAATATAGAACAAATAAAGAAAATAAAACAATGTTGAAATCTTAACAAGATGTTTACTCTTTCTTCATAGCTCCAATACCAGTGTGACCTTAAAAACAGTAAAGGAAAAATTACAGTTGTTCAAGACACGCCAGAAATACTGCGTGTAAAAGAAAATCAAAAGAATTTCAGCTCGGTATAGTTACTATTTACTTTCCATTGAATGCTAACCTAGTAATTTCACTCTCCTCTTTAAAAGTATACTAGCCTTACACTGACAATTAACATCTAACCTCTTCAGGAATACCAGCAGTGATTTGTTAAAATTCCCCATACTTTGCTCCAATTCATCTCTCCAAAGACCATGTGAAATAACTTTAAATCTGCTAACAAAGTAACTTTTTAAATTTTTTAATCCCAGAGCAGTAACCGTGTGTTGTCTTGCTCCAAGAAGATGGATTTCTTTTTGACATTGTGATTTATTTTATCCTTCCCCCAAATAACTGACTGACTTTGCAGTTCTTTAATGGATTTTGTGTTTGTTGTTGTTGTTAGCATTTCCTGGCTTTTCTCATCTGTGTTAGTATGGTACCATAATCTTAAATCTTAAGATCTGGAAGGTGATGCATGTTGCGTATCTGGTATGAGTCACTGATACTGATGTGGAAATGTCAGGTGTGATGCTCTGGCACTTGCCTGGGATCATCATCTAGTGTCTTGTTTTCACAGAAGTCGTGTGTCCTAGTCTTTCTCCAGAAACTGCTGGGTTTTCCTTTCTTCTTTGTAACACTGTCATGATTCTGAATGCCCAGGTTTTATATAAAGAGGATGTCTCACCAGGAACGGCAATTGGAAAGACACCTGAGATGATGAGAGTGAAACAAACACAGGACCATATTAGCTCGGTAAAGACACAGTGGATGCACTTCCCACATTTTTTGCCTCCCTTTGATAATTTACAGTGACCCCTGAGTTGTACTCAAAGCCTTTGTCACTAGAAACAGCTTATATTGCTAAAATAGGTGCTTGTGTGCCACCACCAACACACAGTGTGCGCCAGTGGCTAGAGTCATCTCATATTCAGTGCAGTGCTTTGGTGGTTTTCATGAGGGAGAGATTAGATATGAAAAACAGAGAGGCTTGTGAGAAGGTAGAATCCGGTACAGTCAAAGAACCAACCTTCCTGGATACATGTATGTGAATCTATTTGTGCTAGTCAAATGACCTGTTGGGCATAAACACATTGGAGTATACAGGAAAGGGCTGCAGTCTATATAGGGGCCCCCACCTCTGCCCCAAAGAGACAAGAGAGAGACAAAGTGTCCCTGTCCTTGGAATTGTTCTCCTCTTACCCAATATTAGAATGAGGTCCCTTTCACTCTAAGTATAAAGCTTGTGTTTTTTAAATTGTGATTTTTTTAAATTTGGGGACTACTAATCAAACATATGTACATGTTGGTAAGAGTAACTGTCCAGCACGTCATATAATACCTTTCTTTTCCCATTTTAAAATCTGCAGGTGAAGTATAAGGAAACAATAGGACAAGGAACTCCAATCCCTGACCTGCCTGAAGTGAAACGTGTGAAGGAGACGCAGAAGCACATTAGCTCGGTAGTGGCCATACTCTCAGCTTGCATTTGTGTGACTGGCCATCTTCCAATTGCTATCCTGCTTTCTCTCATCCCTTCTGCTTCCTACCAAGGGTTTCCATGCCTTGGGGAATGTTGTGAACCCTCCCTTTGACTTGATGGGGTCGCTACCAGTTGCAAAAGTAGTAAGAAACCTCTCTTCTCATAATAAAGGAGAAGGGACTTGGCTTTTTTTCCCCACCTGTCACTTACTTGAAGCTCATGGACTTGGCTTCTTAATTTTCATGCCATTTGTTTCCAAAGTAAAATGTTTTGATGGTAGTAATAAGGTTATTGGGACGATCTCAAGTAATTTAACCAAAGCATATACATATAAGTAGTATAGCATACTTTGGTTTTATGTGTATATAAAAAACGGCTGTGTGTGTGTGTGTGTGTTATGTATGACATATCATATGAATGATAGGATTCCCCTGTGTAGAAAAAAGACCCTAGGCAGACTTGTGAAGTCTCTTCTCCCTTCCCAATTTCAAGGTTTCTTATCCTGTATTCTCTGCTGTCTTCATCTTGTAAATGCAGTGGTACAGGCTGTGATCTACCTACAGTGGTATATTATATATTAAGCCTGTGCTCTCATGGGAATTTCAGGCACCTGTGTACAGTTTATTGAGGGTCGGGTGCCCCCTACATCTGAAGTAGCAGCACGTTTCTCCTGAGCTTTTGTCAAACTCTGGCTCTAGACCCCACCCCGTTTTCCCATCACAGATTCTAGGCAGGTGTTGGCTACTAGCAAGAGACTATGAAGTCTGGGAAATAGTTTGTGGCCAATAAAAGGTGAGGACCTTAGTCTTCGGATTCCCCTGGTCACTGGAGGACTGAACTCTTGATTTTAAGAGATACTTGACATTTCTCTTGCAGGTTGTTCATATTATTAAGATCTCATTCCCTGCTTATACTCTGGCTCCCTTGTGGTCCAAATTTCATTTAGAGTTTTGTGTCCTGTAATATGAGAAAGTTAGCCCAGGCTCCTTTGTCACTTTGCATTACAACTTCTTGCTTTTAATTTTGTTTTGTGCTGTTGTCCATTATCAATTCTGTTGCTTTGTTGGGTAAAGAATAAAGAAATGCAACTTTGTTACCAAGAAGGTAGATGTTCAGAGGTTTCTAAAGCTTTCCTTGCAAAACAAAACTATCACCCCTAGCTTGTCACTGACTTTTAAGAATTAAAATCTGGTTATGTTGCTCCCCATCCCATGCACTAATACAGCAGGGAATCTATCCATTTAAAAGAACCCATTCAGTCCTTTAGGCCGAAAACTTAAGGAGGAGGCAATAAGCTTGGAAAGTGGAAGTTCCTTATCATTTTCATTAAAATGCATAGTCCTTCGATACTACTACCAAAAAATTGGACTTCTCCCAATTCAGAAAACACTAGTTTACTTCATCCAGCCATCAGCAATAAAAATTTCAGGTAAAGATGCTCCTCCTGAAAAATAAACTGATTAAACCTCCTCATATCCAGGGACTAGGATCCTATAGATTAGGAGCCAGGTAGGAACATTCATTAGAATATACAAAACAAACAGAAAATTCTCAATAAGCCTGAAGGAATAGCGTATCCTATGATTTGAAAATTTTAAACCAAGCAATCTATTCATTAAGCACAAGTCTATTGCAGGCCTCCTATATTCAAGGCACCAATGCTAAAATGGCTGGATTTTTCCCATTGGTAAATTTATTATTAATTATTTAATGCATTTTAGGTATATACCAAGTGGTTATAGAAAATGCTAATTTAGCGCCCAATTTTTCAAAGTAGTGAAAGTTTTTACTACCTTTGAAAAGAGAACATAAATATTTATGGAATTTCCCCCCTATTCCTTGTATGTTGTATTTGAGAGCTAGATTGTTTTTATGAGTTTCCCCCAAATAGCCCACATGTAGCTGCTATCTAAAGGATTCATGGTCATTTTACCTTTCCGGGTATTCTAATTATTTTCTACAGGTTATGTACAAAGAAAACTTGGGAACAGGCATTCCAACCACTGTGACTCCAGAGATTGAGAGAGTCAGACGCAATCAAGAGAACTTTAGCTCGGTATTTACGAATATATAAAAAACTATTTCCCATAAGAAATTTACCACAATAACCCACCTTTTTTAAAGAAAAGTAACATCTTAACAACAATTCTGTGTGTGTCTGTGTGTGATGTATATTATTACCTGAGCAAAGCCATCTTAATATAAAATGACTCACATTTCCAATTATGCTTTAACATTTTCAGTGACTTGACTAGATCTGAAATACCGTAAGTAGAATTAACAAGATTCCTCAACGTTATATCCTATAACTTGATGCTTTCCATTGTACTTTTTCATTTCCAGAATTAGCACTGTAGAGTTCATCCCATAAACTGTGAAGTAAAAAAGTAAAAACATTATCCTTACTAAATATTACTTACTAAAAAACTGCCTCCTCACACACAACCCCTTCCCCCAATTTCCTCCCTTCCTTACTCTCTGTGCTTGTTTTAAATGTCCTCTGGATACTTTCTTGTATCTCACAGGTTTTGTACAAAGAAAATTTGGGGAAAGGAATCCCAACACCTATCACTCCAGAGATGGAGAGAGTCAAACGCAATCAAGAGAACTTTAGCTCGGTATTTCTTAGGGGACCAAAAAAAAAAAAAAAAAAAATCCTCAATTTTATTTAAAATGATAACACCTTACAAATTTAAAATTACTAAATTCATATAATGAAAATAATGGTACCAAATATTACCTCAGTTTTCAACCCAAATCTAATTTAGTATTTAGTTCTGGTGTGAAATTTTAACTGTGTTTTCTCTAAAACATAGATATTTATCACTTTCTTTAAAAACCTGTAATACTCAATGTTTTCTTCCTCGATCCCTCCTTTAATAACAGTAGGTGTTTCTAACTGGTGTGGCACAAGTCAAAAGTAAAACCTAACGCCCCTTCAAAGGACAATGATAATTAGAATTTTATTTGTATTTATTGTGGCTTTTTGATGTATTCTGTGTTTGCTTTTCTTGAAGATTTTTCTGTTTAGATGTTTATTATTTTTCCATAAGTTTTGGGGGTACAGGTGGTATTTGGTTACATGAGTTTTTTAGTGGTGATTTGTGAGATCCTGGTGCACCCATCACCCGTGCAGTATACACTGCACCATACTTGTAGTATTTTATCACCCCACTCCCACTCTTCCCCCCAAGACCCCAAAGTCCATTGTATCATTCTTATAACAGCTTTGCATCCTCACAACTTAGCTCCCACATATCAGTGAGAACACACAATGGTTTTCCATTCCTGAGTTACTTCACTTAGAAGAATAGTTTCCAATCTCATTGGAGGTCACTGTGTTTGCAGCTTTTCTTAAAGGAATGTCATTCTTAAACATTTTCATTCAAAGACAACACAGCAATTCACAGTAACTCAGAAATATAATTTACTTGTCTCAGCTATTTTTTGTACGCTATGCAAGATAAAATTTTTCCTTTGGAAAACCTTCAGGATAATTGAAAGCTAATATTATTTAGCTTTTGGTATTTATTCTTTATTTTGTTCCCCTAAACCTGCCTTTCTCTCTCCTTTCTTTCTTTGGTTCCCTAATTTAATGTTACAAACAACTCAGGATAGTAATTTCAATTAGTTTGAATGCTGTTTGATACAACTGTCTTTGAGAGAAGGCCTACGTAAGTCAAGCCACTCCTGCTGGCAGCCTGGCAGCTGTGTTTTACTGATGTCTTTTAGAGACAGACATCCTGTGTGTGACTAAGTGTCCAAAGGGGATCTATAGTTACTCTGTTTTTAAATGTTATTTAGGTCTATTTTACTTCATCATAAAACAACAAAAATACTTTTAGGCTCTTTTTTTTAGGTTAAATCTACCTAAAAGGTGGGTCCAGGTTGATTTGTTTGTTGGTTTTGTGCACACAGATATTGTACAAAGAGAACTTGAGCAAGGGGACTCCCCTACCTGTCACTCCTGAGATGGAGCGAGTCAAACTCAATCAAGAAAACATTAGCTCGGTATTTGAGAGAAAGCTCTTTAACTCCATATTAAAAAAAATAATAATTTCTGTAAAACAGAACATCTTATTATTCATCCCTTCATAATAATCAATTTAACAAAATCTTTTAAGTCACACCAACTGAATCCTTCTGTTTTCCAGATCTCCTACTCACCAATTGATTCTAACACTTTATATTTCTATAATAGTCCCTTAAAACTTTTTCTTTCCTTCTCTTTTCACCTTTATGTTACTGTTGGGACTGTTGAAGTTAATTGATTTCCAGAAAAGAAAAACCAAACACTAAAGGTCTTATTTACTTTGAATTCTTTTTATCTGATGTTTCTGGGTTAGAGATGCAAGAAAAGATACTGGACTTGAAGCCACATGTAGAAATGGTGGCTCTTGCTTAGGAACAGGAATCATCTTAACATAGACCCTATTCAGATAAACAGTAGCACCAAGAAAGAAAATTGCTCAATATTGAAACCAAAAGAAATCTTATTTTGGGCCAGGTGTGGTGGCTCACACCTGTCATCTCAGCATTTTGGAAGGCCAAGACAGGCAGATTGCTGGTGCACAGGAGGTTGAGACCAGCCTAAGCAACATGGTGAATTCCATCTCTACTATAAATAGAAAAAAAATTAGCCAAGCATGGTGGTTGGTGCATGCCTGTAGTCCCAGCTACTCGGGAGGCTGAGGTAGGAAGATCGTCTGAGCCCCATGAAGTCAAGGCTGCAGTGAGCTGTGATTGTGCCACTGCACTCCAGCCTGTGTGACAGGAGTGAGACCCTGTCTCAAAATGTAAAAATAAAAAAAGGAAGAAAGAAATCTTATTTTGATACTTGTTCTAAACTAGCCATTTCATGGATAGAAATCCAGTCCTTCTGATTTTTTTAAATATACAATAAGATCATAAGCTTATATTTAATGTTACTTTCTCTTTTATTAATATTGTTGCTGAAAACCTCTAAGACAAAAATTATTTGTATATTATAAAATAATACAAAACTCTGAAACTTCTATATAAAGATCTTAGGTTCACTTATACCTATGATGGAGAATCAAATGTCATTAGGAAAATTTAGTTGGATTTTTTTTGGGAGGGAGTAGAAATTAATCCAAAATGTTTTTAATTGTCAGTTTAAATATATTCTAAAAGTTTGATTCTTTGACATAATTAGATCAGTAACTTTCTTTGGTCCCACTGTCTTTTTGTTCTGTTTCGTTTTTAATTACTATTCACTAACAATCCTTCAATTTTGTTAAATTTTCAATGTAAGTTAATATGTCTTTTGGAATGTTACATTCATTGTTTTCCCCGTGGGTTCATTATTATTATTCCTTTTATTTAAAGGCTTGCAAGAATTTCAAAATTACTTTCTAATTATTTTCTTTTGTACTAGAATAAGTATATTATTTTTGTATCTATTTGAAACCTTAATGATCCTGATGATTCTGGACTTTTTTTAAAGTAACCATTTCCATTTTTACACAGAATTGCACCTAGGCTAAATTGTCCAGTGGTGGATAAGCCTATTAGATACTGTGGAAAGTAGACAATGCCATATAGTGACTTTTAGACTTGACCATCTCTACAATCCAAACTTAATGACAAAGACCAAATTGCCATATTGCATAGATCTGGCCTGTTAAATATTTCTTCTACTGTAAAACAAATGTCTTTTGTAAAGAAAACAAATATTTGCTAATATAACTTCAACAATTTTTCTATTGTACACTGACTATTTTAATGGTCTTAGGAAATTATTTGTATTTTTTGCAAAATTTTTTCCTGTGCAAAAAATTATTTGCACAGGAAATACTTATATTCAAGTTACAGTAAAAAGGTGAATATCAAATACAGTAATATTTCACTAAGGAAATACAAAACATGTTCTCACCCAGATCTGTGCGTGAACAGAGAGGTTGACTTGTTGAATTTGTCTTTTCTGTCTGATGTCTGTAGTTTCACACTAGATTCTCCACAAGGTAGACGAAAGGGCTGTTTTGATTGCTCTTGTTTCTTCTGGATGCTTTCTTGTGTCATACAGGTGTTGTATAAAGAAAACGTTGGAAAAGGGATTCCAATCCCCATCACTCCAGAGATGGAGAGAGTCAAACACAATCAAGAAAACTTTAGTTCGGTATTTAAAAATGAAAAATTCCTTTAACTAGTTTTTAAAAGTTTAAAAAATATTAATGGCTAGATTTTAAAAATCTAATCAACTCATTCCAATAAAAAATTTGACCTGTCATTTTCCCAACTTAATGCTGCCGTTTCCTACGAATCAGTTTTCTCCATTTTGGTAAAACATTAATACAATCATTTAACTTAATTTTTTTAAAAGTGTTATTATATTCCTGGCTTTTACAAATATAACATTCTCAGTGTCTAAGCATCCACATTTATCCTGCTTTGGCAAAGTTGATCTGAACCTAAAGCTTAAAACAAATGTATTCTGCAAAGATCTGACTATCAGGCTCATTTATTATTCTAACCTCTTCTGTCTCTACTGGTATTTGTACAGATATTTTGAAGTTTCTTTTTTTTTGTTTTTAGCACCTTATCATTGCTCTCCTTTTGCCTTAAACATTGTTCTTCCCAATATGTTTACCCAAACTAAAGGTTAAATACTTTGACTTCTTTTGAAGTAAACAAAAGAAGGTTTGTGTGTATATGTCTCCATATATAAAATGCTTGTAAAACCCAAATATCCTTATGTGATTTATTAATAGCATTTTCAAGTCAAAAATAACTTCCTTGGTTTTGTTTCTGTCTCTTGTCTGTTTCTATTTTTTTCCCTCCGTGTAACAAGCTGGGAAAGACTAATTCCTCTCTTTCATGGTTGCTCAGCGCTGCAGAGATTAATTCAAACAAGGAAAATAACAAAACTTTTTCTTATTTCTTAGTTTTTGTTGCTCTTTTCTGCATTCCTTTGCTTTTGAAGATGTCTTTAAAAGGCTCAAACAGGTTGAGTCTAAAAGCTTCTGGTACTTCTCTTCCTCTAATTCACTCTCTTCCTCCCTTCCCACTCCCAACTGCTCCAAAGCAGGGGGAAAATGATTGATTGCTTTTTTTTTTGTTCTGGATGCTTTCTTACCATACAGGTGCTATACAAAGAGAACCTGGGGACAGGAATTCCAATCCCCATCACTCCTGAGATGCGGAGAGTCAAACACAATCAAGAAAACCTTAGCTCGGTATTTTGAAAAGAAAGGGGAAAAATGCCACTTCAGAATTAAACTGATCCTTACATTTATTTTTTGTTTTAAACTCATTTCCCTTCCTTTGCTTCTAATATATTTTATATTACAAAAGGATATACTTTCCCATTTCTATAATACAATTAATTTCGATGTTTTACTTCATCTGATATTTTCAAAAATTTTTTTAAATAATGAGTTTTTCTGTTTGTGTGGGTAACAACGCCGAGTTCTAACAGTCTCAAATCCTTGTTGGTTTAGGAGGCACCATACTCACAAAAATGAAAAAAAAAAAAATAATAATAACATGAATAACTCTGACAGCCTTTCCCCAGTAGCTGAGGTCCCTGCTTCTCTAGAGGGTACAGATTCCCCATCCCAACAATGGCTTCCACTGAAGTATTCAGTGGCAGTCTGTCAGCAAATAACTTCTGGCTCCTTGGACGACTGTTTTCTCCTCACACTTAAAACATCCCAAGAAATGAAATGTTACTTACTCATGGTTGTTTTTCTGGATGCTTTCTCATCGCACAGGTGTTATACAAAGAAAACATGGGCAAGGGAACCCCTTTACCTGTCACTCCTGAGATGGAGAGAGTCAAACACAATCAAGAAAATATTAGCTCGGTACTTTCAAAAGAAAAGAAACTACTTATTTAATGATTTTAGAAACTTTCATGATTTAAAATAATACATATTAATCCTGCTTTTTAAATGACAACTTAAATTTTGTGAATTTCTTTAGCAAATTTATCCTTTTTTCCTTTGGGCTACTTCTAGCCTAACCCCATAACAACAAGATTGCTTTAATCTATAATTTGAAGTTCTAATATCAACAAGTAACAGATTTTCTTATAAAACATCCTTTTGCTTCTCTCTCCTCAAACTTTCTATCCACTTCCCCCAAGGTCTCTTTGTTTTACATATGCTTGAAATTTAGGATGGAGTATATGGGGCATGGTAGAGTAGGTCCAACGGGGAATTTAGGATGGGTATGTGTGGGGTTGTAGAGTAGGTCCAATGGGGCTCTTTCTTGAATATTAGTCATGATTTTGTTTTTGTGTCAATGACTTCAGTTTCTAATTTACCCTGTCAGATTTGGACAAAGAGACCTTGGGAAAAATAATTCCTGATCCCCTTCTTCAAGGATAATGATATAAATTATGATTCAGTAGTTTTCACAATTGATCGTCAACTTAAAACTGAGTGTCACCAGAACCGCTTTTTGTTTTACTGATTTTCGTTTTTGTTCTTTAGTTTTAGTGTAGTCTTTAACTGCAAACTTTAGTAAACCATTTCCTGTAAACTTGTGCTCTATGACATTATATGTGATTGTAATTACCCACGGATTGAGGTTTGCATGGGGACTTCAGCTTTCAGTAGCAAACAGCCTTGTGGCCTCCACGTTTCCACTCTCTGTAGGTTTCTCCAGTACTTGAGTGCAGTGTTCTAAAAACATAAGCACATATCAGAATAACCTGGAGGGTTTGTGAAGCCAGATTGCAGGGTCCTGCTCTAGTTTCTCATTCTGTAGGTCTGGTACAGAAGGGGCCAGAGATTTGCATTTTTAACAAGTTCTCAGTACTGACCTTGCTGTTCAGGGACCCCAATTTGAGAACCATTATTTCAGCAGAATTCTTCCTCTTGAATGTCATTTCCTAAGCTTCCCATGTTTCCAAGAATGACACTGAGAGGAGATACTGAGGTTGAGGATTTATCACGATTTGTTACTATGTTTCTCATTTTCTATTTGACTATGATAGTGATATAAGAGTCAAAAACATTTTTCCTTAATGATAAGCTTGATGTTGTATTAAACTAAAGAGGCAGAGCATAGAGGATAACAAAGAAAAAGTGGGTAGGGGAAACCCTTTGCCTTATCTGAGGGCCTACAGTTTTATTGATGCATCTATGAGAGTTTAAGTGCTACAAAACAGTTCAGTAAAAAAACAGCTGCTCTATCAGTAGCAGCCTCAACCTTCTCAAATGTGATTGACGCTCATGCCTGTAACTCTTGTTTAAATCATCTCTCAAGCTTGACATTCAGAGACTAGCAGTAAAATGATGGTGGTCTCTCATCACTTTGAGGAACACCACAGTTCTCTCTTGCAGTGTTCAAGGGTTTCAGGGCAGGGGCCTAACCCGGACACATTGTGTCTTGCTGTAACTACACTTAACTTCCTTGAAAAATATACTGCTTTCCATCTAACCTTATTGCCCAAATGGTTTGGGGCCCTGAGGATAATCAAAAGTTATTTGTACCATTTCCTTTTTTGGTAACTGTAACTCTTTTTCTTTTTGGATCCGTTGGACTCGCATAGGTTTTGTACAAAGAAAATGTGGGGAAAGCCACCCCAACCCCTGTCACTCCTGAGATGCAGAGAGTCAAACGCAATCAAGAAAATATTAGCTCGGTATTGTCTTGAGAAACCAAAGTGCTTTTAATTTTGCAAAATAACTCCCGCGGTTTGGCCTGCTCCTAACCCTATCTCAGGTTAAAAGCAAACAAAATGCCAGTTATATTTGCATTTGCTCTGAATATCACACTGTATTTACTGTTAGCTATTAACTGTTTTTAAGCTTTCTTCTTGATAGATGTTCTCACTAATAGTAATAGATTAAACATGGCGTTTCCCTCCAACTTGCAATATAATTAATAGTGATTATTGCTTCATAGTGACTTTTGGGTGCAACTTTGTATCTCACAGGTGTTTTACAAAGAGAACCTGGGGAAAGCAACCCCCACACCCTTTACTCCTGAGATGGAAAGAGTGAAACGCAATCAAGAAAACTTTAGCTCGGTATTTCAGAAAGGAAAAATAAATCCTTAAAATTTTAACAGGCCTGGCAAACATGGTTATACCACTAATTTATCTTAGTGTTTCCAAAACGTTTGCGTATCTTAAAAATTCTTCCCTATCCACTTAAAAACAACAAACCTACCCCACCAGGTTACAGTGATTTTACTTCTTTCTTAAACTTTTGCTTCCTACTGTAACATTTTAATGGCTTTACCTTCGGTGTGATATAATTGAGCCATAACACCAGCTAAGTGATGATTTTCAAACCTGGTTTTCTGCTATCTGATGCCTGGATGCTCTTTTGGCTTCCCTAGGTATTGTACAAAGAGAACATGAGAAAAGCAACTCCGACACCTGTTACTCCAGAGATGGAGAGAGCTAAGCGCAACCAAGAAAACATTAGCTCGGTATTTTCTAAGACTAAAAAGAAATAGTGCAACAACTTGGAAAATAACATCTTAACATCATAAAAACACGCCTTTCTCATGCAACTGAAAAACACACTAAAATCTTAAAAGAGAAAAATGCAACATATTTGAAAGTAACATTTTAACACCATAAAAATGTGCACTTTTTTATTCAACTGAAAATTTACACTAAAATTGACATAAGTGTGCTTTTATATTCCAAACCACCATACTAAACAAGTTAATTGCCAATGTTTTCCTTCCCCTTTCACTTTACTTGAGGTAGTTCTACATAACCAATTATAACAAATTTACTTCCTAACATCCTCAATCTTCTCTCCTTTAGTTTTAAGATACTTTATGACATGGGTAATACACTGAAACAGATGCCTTCTTTGGCTATATTTTGGGGTTTTAGTATCTAGAGGACTTTGATTTCTATACTGGCATACTGGTTTAGGAAATCTGAACATAACCTAAGGAAAATGATCACTTCTTTTAGGACATTCTTTCAAATTCCCTTCAATATCAGATTTAGAGCCAAATACCATCGAATATGTTGATGCTGTAATTCCTAGCAAATTTTAAGAGGTCATTTTTTCTTTTCAAAATTATACTATGCCCCTTCTTTGAAAATGAGTTTCATTTTCAAAGTCAAAACAAGTCTATTCTCTCCTGAGGGCCTTTCCGGTCCCCAGGTTAGCCTGATCCACAGTTGGTCAAGTGTCTCACTGGGCCCCTTCAGTTGGCCAGCCTCCCTCACCAGCTTCTTCCATCTCTATCTGCTGGAAAAGCTTTGAGGTTTCAGATTTAGAACAGCACCCCTCATTCATGGTCTCTCCTCGATCAGGTTCTTTATTCTGATAGCTTCCGGAAACAAATACAAGGCAAAGCTGCCTATGTGTTGGATACCCCCGAGATGAGGCGGGTGAGGGAGACCCAACGGCACATTTCAACGGTGAGTCAGGAATTCTTTAGGATGGGCTGGCTGCCTGTTGGAATGTGTAAAAAGGGAAATGGTCACACCATCATATTTTCATAAGCAAATCCATGACATTTCAGGTGAAATATCATGAAGACTTTGAGAAACACAAGGGTTCCTTCACACCGGTGGTGACAGATCCTATCACTGAACGAGTAAAGAAGAACATGCAGGACTTCAGTGACATTAACTACCGCGGTATTCAGAGGAAAGTGGTAGAAATGGAACAAAAACGGAATGACCAAGATCAGGAGACTATTACAGGTAACTGAGCCTGGGGTGGGGAAGGGGATTAACTTTGAGGGGTAGAATAAAAGTAACATTATCTACATCAAGTCAAAATATAAAGGACTTCAATCTGTTTTTATTAGGGGTGCAAGAAAGCTCCTATTATTTCAGTTTACAAAGCTGGTATCTCTTCTACCTTTGTTCTCCTGTGAGAAGGCATGATCCAGAACCTAAGCTGGAATAAGTGTAATTCAATCCGCTGGTGGTTGTTAAAATTCATGCCTTGGTTTTCAAGTTATTGGAGAAGTCCAAGAACACTTGTTCTGATCATTACTTTCCCTTTCAGGTCTACGTGTCTGGCGTACTAATCCTGGTTCAGTTTTTGACTATGATCCAGCAGAAGACAACATCCAGTCCCGAAGCTTACACATGATTAATGGTGTGTTATGCTCAAAAAGGCTTACAACATAAACATCACCATGTAGTACGCTAGAGTCAATGACTTTTATTTGGGCTCTGAAGTTCCTTCCCTCCAGGGTTTTGCATTTTCTGAGTTGCCCATTTGGCATAAAAATACCTTGTTGGCCGGGCACAGTGGCTCACGCCTGTAATCCCAGCACTTTTGGAGGCCAAGGCAGGTAGATCACAAGGTCAGGAGTTCAAGACCAGTGTAGCCAAGATGGTGAAACTCCGTCTCTACTAAAACAAAAACAAAAATTAGCCAGGTGTGGTGGTGGGTACCTGTAATTCCAGTTGCTCTAGAGGCTGAGGCAGAGAATTGCTTGAACCCAGGAGTTGAAGGTTGCAGTAAGCCGAAATCGTGCCATTACAGTCTATCCTGTGAGACAGAGACTCCATCTCAAAAACAAAACAAAACAAAACAAAACAAAACCTTGTTAACTAGTGAGCAAAACTTACATTCTAAACAAGTTCAAGTTAAGAAAAATTTTGTTTCACTACCTCAGTGCATGTCTCCTTCAGGCCCCATTATTATTTCTATTTTTTTCCCAAAGAAAAAACGATAACCCTTTCTGTTGGAGAAATAAGAAAAATAAAATACATAGGCAAAGGGAAGAGAAAGGATTTGACCTTTAGGAACTGTCTAAGCTCTATTCCATCAATGAAGATTATAAATAAAAAAAAGAAGGAAGAAAAAAAAAAAGACTAAAAAAAAAGTGAAGAAGTAGAATACCAGCATGGAAAACAGAATGAGAGACCTTCTCTACAAAAAAAAAAAAAACAAAACAAACAAAAAACAAACAAACAAACAAACAAAAAAAACAAAAAAGAAATAGCCAGAAGTGGTGTTGTGTACCTGTAGTCCCTGCTGTTCAGGGGGCTATGGTAGGAGAATGGCTTGAACCTAGGTCGAAGCTGCAGCGAAACGTGACTGCACCGCTGCCCTTCAGCCCGGGCAACAGAGCCCCCATCTCAAAAAAAAAAAAAAAAAAAAAAAAAAGAATATCATGTAGAGACAGTCCTCAAAGTATGTGTACCCTAGATTTCTGATGAAGAGAGAGAAGTAAATCCATGGTTGCATCCTGACATGTGTAATTTTAAAGGTCTGCCAATAGTATTTTGGGAACACAGAGAAAGACTCTAAATTGATTTGCAGTTAGGGAGGACTTTCTGGAGAAGTTAAAGATGGAATCTGAATGTCAATATTACTATTTATTTATTCTGATGAGCCAGGAAAATTGGCAGGTTGGAGGAGAGATGTTACAAATAGACTCCTGGATTTGAAACCTGGCTGTACCAGTTAACTGTTCCATGACCTTTGGTCATTTGCTTAAGCTCTCATCTGCAAAATACGGAAAACAAACCTATATCAGAATAATTGTGAGGGTCTGACCCACGGGAAACTACTGAAAACCATGCTTGGCAAAAAATAATGATAACTGATACTCACTTACTGTTAGGCATTACTACCACAGAAATGTTGTGTTTACTACATCTCTCCCAACTGCATCTTTCCCAGTCCAAGCTCAACGCCGAGGCCGGGAGCAGTCACGATCTGCCAGTGCACTGAGCATCAGTGGAGGTGAGGAGAAGTCTGAACATTCAGAAGCGCCAGACCACCACCTTTCGACTTACAGTGACGGGGGTGTCTTCACAGCCTCAACAGGTACAAGTGGATGGCGCTGATGTTGGCAGTCCCACCCAGCCAGCTCACTCACAGTTACTAAAGAGATGCTTTGAGTAAAAACAAAAAAATTTTTTAATCTTGATCCTTTTAAATGAGAAAAGACTAGAGTTATGGAGGGTTGCATGAAGTTAGATGTTTCTTTTTCCTTGATTTCTCTTCTTGAAAATCATTCTAAGTTGGGGAAAAAGATATCACTCAGTTGCTAAACACAGATTAAAGGATACCTAGCCGTTTTTCTTCTTGTAAACAATTTACCCCCTTCTTTTCAGCTTACAAGCATGCAAAAACCACAGTGCTCCCACAACAACGATCATCTTCAGCTGCTACCCAACAGACAACGGTATCTTCCATCCCATCTCATCCATCTACTGCTGGAGTAAGTAAATAATAACTCAAATTATTCTTAATTTTTGATATGTGTAAACATGATTATAGCTATTATGGCCTTTTTTAACCAAACCACCTGTTTTATATAATGCTTTTTTATTACACATTTCATATTAATATCAGACAACTTTCATTACCAAACTCAAATTAATGAAAAGCATTTTCAATAATTAAAAAAAAAAAAAACCCAAGCCTAGAGCAAAGTATCAGTTTTGGCTCATTGGACTCACCTACTAGCTTAAACATTTGCTGCTTGGAATTATTTATAGGCTGGGCACAGTGAATCATGCCTATAATGCCAGAACTTTGAGAGACTCATGCGAGAGGACTGCTTGAGCTCGGGAATTTGAGACCAGCCTAGGCAACAATGAGACTTCATCTCTACTAAAAATTTAAAAATTAGCAGGGTGGGATGGTGCACTTGCAGTCCCAACTGCTTAGGAAGTTGAGGTGGGAGAAATGCTTGAGCCTGGAAATTGAGGTTGCAGTGGGCCTGGATGACAGAGGGAGGCCCTGTCTCATAAACAAAATAAGTATGTACAGATGTATGCAATGTGCCCGCGTATATACATACATGCCTTATCTTAGATCTCGCCTATTAGTATAAATTGAAAAGGTAAGCCAAATCATCTTCACAGTTCACCAGACTACTTTACAACTCTTAGTTTAAAACCCTGGATCCCATTCATAATATCCCCAAAACATCATAATTTAGAATTGATATGAACAATCTTTGTATGTAGACAACTGTCTTTACTAAATGACATAAAAGAAGATCTAAGTAAGTGTTGAGGTCTATTATATTTAAGGGAATATTATAAAGTTCTAATTTTCCCTGAAATAAACCAATACATTCAATTCCAATATAAATCCCAATAGCACTTAACTCTGCTAATCCTAAAATTTATGTGAAAAACATGCAATAATCATCAAGTAAAATTCAAAAATGATAAGGACTCAACTAAAAAAGAGTGAAACATACAATAAAGCTATTAAAATTAAATATGGATTTAGCATGGTAATAGACACAAAAATAGATGAAGTCCAGAAATAGACCCTAAACGAATTATAAATCAGCAGGAAAGGGATAAGTTATTTAATTATATTATCTGAGGTAATCAGTTATCCATTTAGTAATATAATAAAATTAGATACCCATCTCAAAGCATAAATTGTACCAAGGATTTAGATGTAAAATCCACAATTGTAAAAGTATAAAGGATAATAGAGAATACTTTTATATTTAGAGACGGGGTCTCCCTCTACCACCCAGGCTGGAGTGCAGTGGCACAATCACAGCTCATTACAGTCTTGACTTCATGAACTCCAGCAATACTCCAGCCTCAGCCTCCAGAGTGGCTAGCACTACAGGTGTGTGTGCTATGCCAGACTAATTATGTTACCCAGGCTGGTCTCCAACTCCTAGGCTCAAGCCATCTGCCCGACTTGGCCTCCCAAAATGCTGAGATTACAGGCATCAGCCACTCAGCCCGGCCACGATAATTTTAAAGTATGAAAGGGAACGCCTTCCTAATAAGCAAATTCCAAAATTTGGAAGTATAAAAGACTGGCTAATTTGGTCATAAAATTTCAAATATTTCTATAACAAATACAAACATGTCAGACTGGGAGAAAATATTTACAGCATACATATAAAAATATTAATATCAAAAAAGAATAAAACACTCTAAAGTTAAATGATAAATTATTCCCCTCCCCCTCAAAATAAGACCTGGAAGACTAATAGATAATTTATGGCAAAATTTAAAAAAAAAATGGCCAACAAAAAAGGTGTTTATCATGACTAGTAACCAGGTATATACAAATAAAAGTAATAAAGTACATAATACAAGGTATTTTGAATCAAATTCGATCATACTATATCATATTCGAACATTTTAATAGCAAACAAAAAAAAATTAGGTCAGGAATGGTGGCTCATGCCTGTAATCCCAGCATTTTGGGAGGCTGAGGTGGGAAGAGTGCTTCAGTCCAGGAGCTCAAGACCAGCCAAGGCAACATGGCGAAACCTCATCTCTATTTGTAAAATTATTTTTTTATATATAAAAAAAAGTTTAAACACATATATCATTTGACCTAAGACTTTCACCTTTAAAAGCTTTTTCTTCAGAAATTAGACACCCAAAGATAAACGCTGGAGGCTAATTATAGTGTAAGAACATAATAATATGGTGACAACTAAATGTCCAGAAAAATGAAAATGACTGAATAATTCATATTACTAAAATGTGAAATTCTCTGTAGCAGTCAAAAAGAATAAAACACAGCTATATTTATATGAAAAGACTTCCAAGCTATATTAAATGTAAAGAAGAAATTATTATTTAATGTTCCATTTATGCAGAGGGAAAAAGAAATCTGTGAATATAAATATATGCATGTGTTTTTCAGAATGCGAGAAAAAACGTAGGTTACATCCTAAACTACTAACCAGTGGCTGCTCCCAGGAAGAAATTTTTGTTATCATCACTTCTTATATACCTCCAAATTATTACAATTTTAACAGTGTGGAGGATAGCTTTGAGAAACTTTTACTACTGGTATCCTCCCAAATTCCCAGAGTGAAAGATGACATGCAATAGTGCTATGGATTTTCAAATTATTCTCTAAAGCACAAGACTGACCTCTTCAAAAGGGAGAAAAAGGCCACAAATCAAATTAGCACATTCTTTTCTGTGACTACACACACACACACACAATTTTATGGATGTATAACTTAGTATGAAGTGTACAATTCAGTGATTTTTTTGTTCAACCATCACCATAATCTAATTTTAGAGTATTTTCACCACCATAAAAAAAAACTGTATTGAAAACTCTTCTGGTGCATTAAAAACAAACAAATGCTGGTACCCACTGGCATTCATTCTCCATCCCCAACTTGTCCCTTTCTGCTCCATCCAATCCTAGGTATCCATTTCCTATCACTATATATTTGGCTGAGACATTTCATATAAATAATTCATGTAATTGTATGGTTATACAATATACTGACTTTGGTGCATGGCTTCGTTTACTTTTGAAGTTCATCCATGTTGTATCATGTATTAGTACTTCATTCTTTTTACTACCCAATAATGGGTTTGTATCAATATACCACATCTCGCTTATTCATTCATCAGTTGGTGGGCATTTGTTCCCACTTTTTGGCTATTATGAGTAATGCTGCTATGAACATTGATGTACAAATTATTGCACAGGCCTATGTCCTCATTCTTCTTGGGTATACGCCTAGGAGTGGAATTGCTGGGCCATAGGGTAATGCTGTATTTAACATGTGGTAATTGCCAAACTCTTTTCCAAAGTGGCTGCACTGTTTTCCATTCCCACCTGCAGTTTATGAAAGACCCAATTTCCCCACATCCTAATATCTGTTATTGTCTCTTTTTTATTATCACAGTACTGGCATGTGTGAAGCGGTATCTCATTGCAGTTTTAACAATTTGCATTTTCTGGCTGGGCTCAGTGGCTCACGCCTGTAATCCCAAAACTTTGGGAGGCTGAGGCAGGTGGATCACAGGGTCAAGAGATTGAGACCATCCTGGCCAACATGGTGAAACGCGATCTCTACTAAAAATACAAAAATTAGCTGGGTGTGGTGGCAGGTGCCTGTAGTCCCAGCTACTTAGGAGGCTGAGACAGGAGAATTGCTTGAACTGGGGAGGCGGAGGTTGCAGTGAGCCGAAATCACACCACCGCACTCCAGCCTGGTGACAGAGCAAGACTTTGTCTCGAAAAAAAGAATCAACATTTTCCAGATGACTAAGAATCTTGAGCATCCTTTTGTGTGCTTTTTGGCTATTTGTCTATCTTCTTTGGACAAACGTCTTTCATATCCTTTGCCTCTTTTGGTGGTGGGGGGAGGGCATTGAGTTGTATTTCTTTATATATTCTGGATATTAATTACCAATCAGATATATGATTTGCAAGTATTTCCTGTTTTGTGGGTTCCTTTTACATTTGTTCAAGTTAAGTTTGTGGAGTAAGTCATGAGAGATCTTACAAATAGATGTGTGTGTTAATTGTTGCAAATCTAACATATAATATTTCCCCTTTTTCCATCCTATGAATAGAAAATCTTTCGTGCCATGTATGACTACATGGCTGCTGATGCAGATGAGGTGTCCTTCAAAGATGGAGATGCTATCATAAATGTTCAAGCTATTGATGAAGGTTGGATGTATGGCACTGTGCAGAGGACTGGCAGGACCGGAATGCTCCCAGCCAACTACGTTGAAGCTATTTAGACATTTCAAAGCATCACACTTGTCTGCAGGACCTATGCAGTGAATGTTTCAGTTTAGACTCTCCACTGTTACCTAAGTTCTCAAGCTGCCTATGGTTTTTCTGTGTCAATGTGATTTACAGTAGTATCATCCTTTTTCCTTTGGGTTTGAAAATAAGTTGCAGAATAGACATTTTAAAAGCTTCTGCAATATTATTTCTGTGCCCAGAATCTTTCTCCATTATAAACATGTTTTAACATTATTTCTTTTCTAAAACAGATTTTTGAATATGCCAAACACATTAAAGGAAAAATAGCAGAGACAGTCACTTTTTCCTTGCCTACTGATTGCTAATGCTTATTCTAATTCAGTTCTGAAATTATAAAACTTATAGTCAATACAAACCAGCAACTAATAAAACCTCTAAATATGCAACACTCTGTGGATGGAATGAGCATTATTTTTAATGGTTTTAATATCTACCTATAAAAATTCAATGGAGCAAATTCCACATAAAATTACCTAAATTTAAAAAATGTGTTATGCGCAAGAGTAGACAGTCTCAAAACTCTATCTATACTTGCATTCAGCAAGCTTCTCTTACAGTTTTAAGAACAACTGTGGGCTCCAATCCTAACTTCAGGGGAGCTTTCCCATCTGTATCCAGTATGATGGCAACATGTGGCAAGGCCAAAGGGAGGAGAGACAACCATATGGCTTAATGCTTAAGCTTACAGACTGTTCTTCCTAGAAGGGAGCTAAGTCCCTGTAACTTTACAGCTATAGTAAAGCGGTCTACAAGCTTCTTATGTGTCTCATGAGACTCACAGGGAGAAAATGATCTTGCAAAGAGTGCACTTATTTGTGAATGACCAAAATACACCTGTACACCAAGCACTGGGTTAGACCCTGAAGCTCAACTGAAGAACAAGAGACAGCTGGTGCCCTTAGGGAATTTACAGACCCAAGAAAAGGCAGATTATGCCTAAACATAACAGTGTGAGAGATTGCTACTCTCCTGCTCCCAAGTCTTCCATCTTACCTTAAACTGGATAAATGATAAAAAGTTAGGCAACAATCCCAGTGTGATTTCCAACTCCCAATCTTTCAGAACACTACAGTATATGCTATCTCCATTACAATGGGCTTTTTTTTGTTTTGTTTTGAGACAGAGTCTTGCTCTGCCGCCCAGGCTGGAGTATAGTTGCCCAATCTCGGTTCACTGCAAACTCTACCTCCTGGGTTCAAGAGATTCTCGTGTCTCAGCCTCCTAAGTAGCTGACTACAGGTGTGCACCACCACTCCCAGCTAATGTTTGTATTTTTAGTAGAGACAGGGTTTCACCATGTTAGCCAGACTAGTCTCAAGCTCCTGACTTCAGGTGATCCACCCACTTCAGCCTCCCAAAGTACTGGGATTATAGGCCTGAGCCACTGGACCTGGCCTGGCTGGTTTAGTTTTAAATTTCCTATTTACTTTATCAGTTTTCCAAGGTACACTTTGCAGTTGCTATTGCAAAGAAAAACAGAACTTTTGTCTCATAGATTTTTCCTTAACGCTTGGAAAATGTTCAGTGTGCAGTTGGCTTTCCAATATCCTTGGGTTCCACATCTACAGATTTGACCAATCATGAATCCAAAATATTCAGAAAAAAAAGATGGTCACATTTGTACGGAACAGCTACAGACTTTGTCATTAGTCCCTAAACAATACAGTATATTTATGTAACATTTACATTATATTAAAGAGATGATTTAAAGCACAGGTCCCCAGCCTTTTTAGCAGCAGGGACAGGTTTCATGAAAGACAACTTTTCCATAGAACGGGGACAGGTGGGGAATGAAACCGTTCTACCACAGATCAGGCATTAGATTCTCATAAGGAGCACGCAATCTAGATCCCTCACATATGCAGTTCATGAAGAATTTAATGCAGCCACTGAGCTGACAGGAGGCAGAGCTCAGGTGGTAATGCTTGGTCACCAGCCACTCAACCTCCTGCTGTACAGCCTGTTTCCTAACAGGCCATGGACTGGTACCATTCAGTAGCCAGTGGGTTGGAGAACCCTGATTTAAAGTATATGGGAGGGTGTGCATAGGTTATATGCAAATATTACATCATTTTACATTAGAAATTTGAACATTCATAGGGTGGGGATGGTCCTGAAACCAATACCCCATGGATACTGAGGGATGACTGTATATATAAAAGTAGAGAATCCTCCTGCATCCACCAATTAGCCTCAAAAATGATCAACTCATGGTTAATCTTGTTTCCTCTTCACCCTACCAATGCCCTCCTCTCATTACCTTATAGTGAATCCTACTAGTCACCTTTCAGTGTGTATCTTATAAAGGACTCTTAAAACACAAATCACAACAAAATTAACACACCTTAAAAACTGGCAATCAATATCCAATGTTCTAATCTTCCTGCCATCTGCTTGTGCTTGTTGGTCCAACGATAGCAGGGAAGTCCTTTGTATGTATCTCCACTACCACGTAGGCTGCAAAGAGCCATCTTCAAGAAACTACAAAAGGGAGAAATTACGTCTATGGGTTACATCTCAACCAAATCTCACTCAAATGTATGAGCTGCATGGTGTCCCACCCTGCCACCCCCAAATTCATGCTAAGTCCTAACCCCCAAGGCCTCAGAATGCAAGCTTGGAAATAGGATCCTTGCAGAGCTGTTAATTAAGATGAGGCCCTAATCCAACAGCTTTGGTGTTTGTTGAATTTGGGAAATTTGAACAAACAAACAGGCACACAGGGGAAAAGTCATATGAAGATTGAGAGATTGGGGAAATACCTCTATGTGCCAAAAATGGCCAGCAAATCACCCCAGAAAGCTAGCTGGGGAGAGGTATGGGACAGATGCTTCCTCACAGTGCTTAGAAGGAACAAACCCTGCTGATACCCTATCTCAGACCTCTACCATTCAAAACTGAGACAATACATTTCTGCTGTTTAGTTATTAGGTTTGTGGTACTATTACAGCAACACTAGGAAACTAAGAGTTTTTCAACATCACTGTTTACCTCATTGTTGTGATTTTTTTCTTCTTACAACTATGGAGCTTTTCTTCAGCTGCCACCAAGGTGCTTGGTCCTGCAGAGGAAGCTACGGTGATGGTGGGATGAGGCATTTACTTCATCTGGTGGCTAGTCCAGCAGTGCCAGCTCTGCCCTTGCCCATACCATATGAACTCTCTCTCCAAGTTCTCTTGCATCTACCCAGCCTTCATTTGACTAAACCTCTCTAGTAACATGTTCAATGAAAAACTGAACTCATAAAAAAATAAAAATCACCACTTCTGGATTTAGATGCCAGTGGAACCCATAAAACTATGAATAAAACAGAAAATCTGTGTGATTAAAAAGCAGACCATAAAAGGGGAAAAAGAAAATAAATGGTTCATGTTTGTAGAGGAATACAATGTACACTCTGTGGTATCTGAATTATGCTATTCATACTCATTTCAGATCTCACTAAAACAACAAAACAAAAAACAAAAGTGTAGACAACAAAAAACAAGTACCAGAGTTTAGTTTTTATAATTTTATTTCAGGTAAAAGTGCATTTCTTAAAAAATATTTCAACATCCAGTTTCCATTGCCAAGTGGTAACAGTCAACTCTTGATGCATGAAAAGTTTCTTTGTGACTCAAAGAAAGATCTGCCCCCCCTCAACAGTCATAAAGAACCAGAAATAGTAACTCTAAGTGTGCCTGCTTCAAACATCGTATAAAGCAGTGGTCCCCTAACCTTTTTGGCACCAGGGAACAGTTTTGTGGAAGACAATTTCCACAGATGGAGGTGTTGGGGGAGATGGTTTCAGGATAAAACTGTTCCACCTCAGATCACCAGGTATTAGATTCTCATAAGGTGTGCACAACCTAGATCTCTTGGCATGTGCAGTTCACAACAGGGTTCATGCTCCTGTGAGAATCTAATGCCACCTAGGGGTTTGGGACCCCCAGTATAAGAATTGTAAAATTTAAAAAAAAAAAAAAAAAACTGACTGCACCATTATTTCCATTATTTGCAGGTAAGTGAGGAATGAACAAGTACTTCTGTTAAGTTTCAACTTAAATCATTTTTAAGACTTATCAAATATAAATATTTTGTGAATGTAAAACTAAGCTCTCTTAGAGTTTACCAATTGATGGGGACAACAATATAAAGCTAATGACTGATCTGGCTTCTATCAGTCTTTTTCTAAGTGCTATCAGTCAGGTCTATCCACAGGAGGTAGTGCTGAAAGCAACTGACAATTTACAGACCATCAAGGTCCCTTAACTTCATGGCAAATATGTAACTATACTTTGAAGAGTTTAAGTAGAAAAAGAAGTGTATTTATAAAGTACTAGTGTTTCCTAGTATCTGTGTAATTTGAGCAATAGTAAAACACGTAAGTAATATCAAGAGAAGCCATTTTGGAAAATACAAGGGTAATGGAAATTAAGTAATCAAGACCTCACTCTGCCAGCTAGAAGCAAGTAATTAAATGGACTAACAAGCCATATCTGAACAAAGCTATCAACCACAAAAAGGATCGACGAACTCTGTAAAAGGTCAGACAGTAAGTATTTTAGCTGTTGCAAGCCATACAGACTCTGCTATACTATTGAACTCAGCCGCTGGAGCAGGAAAGCAGCTAAAGACAATATGTAAATGAGCATAGCTGTGCCAATAAAACTTCATTTCTGGATACTGAAATTTTAATTTGTTTTCATGTGTCATAAAATCTCCTCCTCCTCTTGACTTTCCTGACCCTTAAACAAGTGTAAAAACCAGTCTCAGCTCACAGGCAGCACAAAAAACAGGTGGCAAGCTACAGTTTGCCAACCTGTGCTCTGTAAAAAACTTAAGAGTTAAGACTGCGATCTTTCAGTTTCTATACTCAAAACCAAGTTTGCTCTTAATTCTGTTTTCTTTTGGAAAATTCCTATCCTATAAAAATAAAAAACTCTTTAGATACTTATTAGCTATTCCATTATGTATCAAAATAATCATTACACTATACTCTATTTCCAGTTCCATGACACTTTACTTTGAAGGTGATCTTCCTAGTTATACGTTGTTTATCCATTTAAGAAACAGCTTGCCTCTATACTAAATGGAGTATGCATTTAAAAATTCCAGCTTAATCTGCCTTTTCCATTCTTTTCATCTCATCACTTCTCAGTGCATCAATTTCTATCAGCATATAAGCTTGCTGTCTAGTAAATTTAGCTTTATCTACAATTATAAATAGGCATAGTATAGCTAAAATATTCCCTCTGCTACAAGTAGAGTACAAAAGTTACCGGCTTTTTTTCTCACTTGTGATATCAACAAAGGAAAATATTGCCTTCAATTTTTTAGGTAAGATGAGGGGTTATCTTCTTATTCCAATGGTATTTACAGCTTACCATGTCATATTTGGTTTTAATT